AAGTACCTGCATAGGAGGCCTACGGGTACTGTAGGTTGAGAAGGCAAGCAGGTTTAACCCTAACCATTTCAAACTAGCCAAACTTGTTGGAATCTGTTAGGATGAGTACTGCTCTGGTATACTGGTTGTGTTTCATGTGGGATTGGGCATACCACAAATAAACAGAGTCCAACCATTTATGTGCAAAGCTTAATGGTGTTTTGAGTTTTGCAAGGATTTGGAATGTTGCTAGTAAGGTTAAAAGAAGTACATTTACACATGTACATGTACAGTATGCATGTACATATACGTGTAAGTCCTGTGAGAGTATATACTAAAAACAGTTCCATGCATTTACATGCACTTAGCACGTGGAGATTTGTTTTAAAAGATTTTATCAAGCTATTTAGTGAATAAACCCTTTCCAGAGTGTTTTAAAAACAAGTAATGATGGCAAGTAGAGGGTTAGAGTTGATTGTTGCAGTAAAGCAGGAGATGAAGCTATTGTCTAAGAATGGACTGATAATGATGGGAAAGCAGGAAACCTTTCAGTTCAGCCCAAAAGATGATTTTATGACGATTGTTTTCAGGAGTGGCTGCCACCTGAGTTAGCCTATGCCTACTCTTCCTCAATGGAAGGAATTGTTACACGGGGACAAAGCCCCCACCCCTGGGGGAGTCTTGCCTTTACTATCGTGCACCGTGTATCCCTACCCCTAAGGAAGCAAAACCAAAATCTGCTAAATATGGCAGTAGCACGGTTGGGAAGATGGAAGGTACTGGTAACAATGGAATAAATGCAGGCAAATTGACAATTTCAGGTGGCCTTGTGCAAGCCTTTGTCTTTTGGTTTTTTTGGTTTTTAAATGAAACTGAAAATGCATTGAAGCCCCTTTGTCGATCTTTTGTTAGTCTTTGATAACCGTTTCATTTGCATAAACCTCCAACCAATCATACGTGACTGTTCCCAGACTGGCCAGTCACTGATAAGCAGGGGGAGAAAAGCAGTCAGTCAACTTAACCTTTAGCACCCATTGTGGGAGAACACTTTCCCTAAGATACATACATGTACGTACAACCTTCTAGTGTCATTATCCTCTTGAGAAAATTGATGCCACAGAGACTGCGCGTGTACCAGTAGCTACATGTACCGGTACAGTTGATAACTAGAGCATGACCAATGAGAAAATTGATCTCGGGAAACCTTAATATTGGAGTGGTCCCCTACATCTGCCAGATTGTCATGTGGATTCTTCAACAGTAGGTGTCCTTGCATCTGCTTGCAAATTAGTATATGTTCTTTGGCAAGAAAAACTCAGAAAAGTACTCAGCAGAGGAAATTTCATTGAAAGTGGACAGCAAATGATGGGAGTAACAGCTATCGAAGGATTGAAACAGCTTAATTACGTGTAGAAGTCTTTCATTGTTTCATCTTGTCGATCGTGAGTATTGTCTTTGTTTCCTATGAAGACTTGTGGTGAAACTCTTGAAGTACATTGGATCCTTAATTACCATACATTCCAGTTGAGGGAGCTGACGATCTGTGAATGGATGATGTGCATTTATGCTAATGATTGAAACGTTACATGTTGGCTTGTGTTGCCTTTGTAACCTTCAATCTCTTTGCCTGTACAGATGCCCTGTTTACAGCAGGCTCTAGTTATGGGCCTGTTTGTTTCACATGGATCCAGATCGCGATCAGTGATCCTACATCTGACACCAGCACCCACCTAATAATCAATAGCGCGTGAACTAGCTTTGGGATCACTGATAGAGATCCATGGGCTACAGACTCTATAGTCAGTCTCTAACTTTTTATAATGTACAGCTGCTGTTGTTGCTTTTTGTTTGATTTCTACTCGATTTTCTAGACATTTTTGTTCCTTAAATTTGTGTGGGTTTTTCTTCCTTCGCTTCTCATTTTACTGACACATTCACCGCTGACATTTGAAATGTACAGGTACCGTAGGAACATGGATTTGTTATTGAATTGTCTGTATTGGATAATTTTGCAAGGGATCCATGTAGTGTACGTACATTACATTCACAGTAGGTAGGCCTACACCTCAGTTGTACATAAAGCACGTAGGTTTCGTGTACATGTACATAACATGTACTTGTACATGTACGTGACTTCTAACCTGAGGCCTTGAACTGAATGGACAGTCTTTATCTTCAACAAATTTTACCTTGAGAATTATCTGTTAGTTCACCAGCCTATTGGGGTTTGCAGTGTTATTTGTTCAAATGTTTAACTTCACATTATGGTATGTATAGGGAAGGGTGTTCACTAAGCAAAGTGTATTGGCATACCCTATCTTTATTGTGAGCCCGTATGTATGCATTACGTTACTGAAGGCGCCCTCTCTTTTCATTCAAACCAATTCCCGGATTGCCCCAAACATGTCCAAGGATTGTTTTAGAGTTTTTTCTACAGTATCTCAAGGTACAGTATGATGTACCTGACTTGTAAACACAGGCCTTGAACTGCTCATGAACAGTCTTTGTCATCCAACAAATTCTATGAAACTTCCAACATTTAAAACATCATGACCGTCTGGCCCAAACAGAGACGTGCATAAAAACATGTACAGATACATGTACTTGGGCGTACATGTACTCTATGGTAGTTGTGCAACACACCAGCATTGATCCTAAACGTTTATGACGGAAACTGAGCTCGATGCTTCACATTTGTCTAAATGTGCGGACGGGGACAAAATCCCAGCATCTGGTTCTGCAGACCGATTGAGAAGCCATGTTGAGCGGAGGTGTAAAACGGATAAGGAGATATTATTCAGTGTGACTTTGGATCCCGTCAGCAAGTAATTTGATGATCGCGTTTGATGTTAGTATTATGGAGATTTGTTAAAATAAGGATTTGACATGTTTTCTGTGTTTTCATCGCCAACAGCCCCTCTATTTTGTGTGCATACTCATGGATGCTTAGGCATTTAATTAAAATGTACTTTTATTTTGAATTTTCAATAAACGCATTAACTTTAATGAGACGTTTCCCCTATCTTCAACTTTAATAGTACTTGTTTGTACAGTGTATATTTCAGATTTACAAAATATTCTCTTGAACCACTGACAGATGTTGGGATCCTTCATTAACTTCAATTTCACCGTTACTGTAGCCAAATGCTCTCTCCACACATTTCTTTATTATCAACAGTCAGTCTACTTTTTTTAAATCTAGATCCCGTCAGTCTGTTCTGTCAAAATGCACCCATGAGTCCTCTTGTTTCCTTGATATCAGGCTGGACACGAAGCCCTGTCTGCCATGATGAGCGTAAGCAACAAGCTGAGAGATCTCATCCAAAAGCGCAATGTACACCAGTGAGTGGCCATCGTTTGTTCCCTTTCAGAACTCTAGTTCCCTGTATACTTGAAATTGCAGACTGTTAGTCTTGTATTGAAGTCCTGCTTTGGTCCAATTTCTTTGGCAGTGGCTTATTCTTTTGTTGTTTTTATGGAATCAAAACATTCTGTGTTGTACCGTGCCTGCCACCCAATTTTTGGGACAAGTATATTTTTGTTGCATTGTTCAGATTTTTTCTTTCGGTAGTATTAAATCTAGAACCTTCAATTTGGAAGCATGAGGAAATGCAGTAATGTCAGGTCAAGAATTTTTAAATAAACAATGTTCGTACGTGCGTGCGGTTGTTTGGTACCTTTAGTTAAGAAAGAACACTATAAGATTAGCTATATCATGCAACCACATAGCTTTTTTTATATCCTGAAAACGTCGTGGTTATGAAATAAGATTCTTTGTCATGTACAACTGTACTTTGCTCACAAACTGACAAAGAAGGGCCCGTCATGTGATTTTTCTCTTTTGTGCCCTGCTGGGAATACCCACCTATTTTCACATCTGCTGGAATTATCAACTGAAACCACTGCAAACTTAACAGCTTTTTTCCGGACAAGTGCCGAGATTAATGATTAACTTTTAGTGTTGTGAAACTTCAGCTAAGTGTTGATCTTTACCCTGTGGTACAAAAGTAGCAAACTTGTGCCGGATGCTGCCAGCAATTTTGTGAACTGTGTCAGTAAACAAAGAAAAGCAATCAAACTTTTGACCAGTTTTAGGAATGGACAAAACTGTGAATAATAGAACTGTACCTGATATTACAATAATCAATTTTAAGCTTAAATTACAAACAGATCACTGTCAAAACACTGGTTTGCTACTGTCAAAGAAGTTTGAAAATTACTGCAACCATATACAAGCTGCATTTTATGAAAATAACAAGACTTAGCTTTTGAACACGTTGAACCTTTTTCCCTCACGTTTTTTAACTCTTTTCCTATGTCATAAGTAGAGGCCACATTTTGTGCATGCCTTTTTATATGTATGAATTTTACAGAACAGTTAAATTGTAAATGTGCCATCTGAGATTGTCCCATTTAAGATTCTTTTAACTTGATTTATTGTTGGACAAGGAGTGGAAACGAAAGTGAAATTTAAGCCTGTGAACTCTCATTGAAGTGTAGCACATGTAGGTAGTTTCCTCCTGTTTCTAATGGTTTTTCTCTCATTGGATTTTTTCTTGCAATCTGGTTCCCACTTTATGCAAACAATTGATTTTGCTGTGTGGGAGGTACTCATCACAACAGCAATCACATTGTAAGGACACTTGTGAAGTGCTTTTATTCAGTCTTTCGGAACTTTTTTTGAGGGGGGAAGAGAAGATTTCACTTCAGTAGGTGAGTTTTGATCCTGTCTGTCATCTGTGTTATGCTAGGGATGTTCTGGAGATCATGAGTAAACACACCACAGACTCGGGGGTCCAGACTGCTGCCATGAAGGTCATCACTTTCCTGGCAATGTCAGGTGAGTGCCATTTCCGTCCCCACCCCCACCTCATCCCTTATTCCTCTGCTCCCTCCAATTTGACACTCCCCCAGGAGGGTTTCAAAAGACAATCTGCCAACTTGGTCTCATTTTCAGACTGGTAGAAATGTACCCGCATCTGTGGTCCGTCCAAGTGGGAAGGAATAAAGAACCCAATCGTAATAATGAATTTCAGAAACAAAAGTCACGACGCTCCTATCCCTCCAAATGTGCAGGAAATGGTCATGTATGGTCACGTTTCATGGCAAAGTTACGAAACAAATACAGGAAATGGTTAGTTGACACTTAAGTCTTTGTGGGAAATAGTCCTGTGTAAATGAGCAGTTTCACAGCATTGAATGTGTCAATAAGGAGGCTATTTATATCTCATTTGTGTGAAGAGATACTTGCTCATAAGAAACTGCTTATCTCCCCCCCCACCACATATGCACTTTCTGTCCCTCGTTTTTGTTCACACTTGAACATATGCATATAGCTCCTGTCACTTTTGTACAAAGTTTCCAGTCAAGGCCATGCCCAAATGTACATGTACCATTTGTGTGTCCTCAATTTAATTTATAAATGTGTACACCTTTGCTACAAAGCAACACACAAAGAGGATTGTTTTTATGGGCTTTTTGTTTCATTTTCTGAAGCCAACATATGCAACACCCTTATGGAAGAGCAGATACTGGAGTCAGTTGTCCAGACGATGCAGAATTTCCCCGACGATGCGGGCCTGCAGAAGGTGGCCAACCAAGCCCTGCGGCAGCTCCTGGCAGAAGGTAGGTCCAAATTCAGATGAGCTCAGATAAGACTCTACATGTAAGTCACCACTGTTAAATCATACATGTATGCATGTACTTTCTGCGTTGACTGTCTACTTGGGAGACTGACTGTCTGTGATGCTCAAAGATGTTGAAGAAGTAAACATTATGAGGCGGCATGATTTATTAGGACTTTGCAGCATTTGTGACCCCAAAATTCTGTGTTTTTACAAGGTTCAAACTCTGGTTTTACTGCTCTTATTGAATAAAAAACAAGGACAAATTTCACATAACAACAGCTCTTTGGGAGGGAATTTATGCATTGAGAGCTATTTAAAGAAGAACCCTGGTAATTGCATTATTTTATTTTGTCATTATAACAACTCCTTTGCAGGATATTTTAATAAGCTTCCAGGTGTTTGGGCTGACTAGAGACGGTAATTGCTTTTTGGAAACAAAACAAACTTCTGCAATTTGTGAAAAACTTTGGCTTTGTGACTTTTTTCTGTAGATTCCTCAGTCCAGGTGGACTTTGTGGACTCCAAGAAGCACCACCCAATCATAACAGCTCTTAGAAATCACCCTGGTGATCCAGGTGTCCAAGAGGAAGCCCTGTGGCTATTGGCTGTCTTAGCCGATTCAGGTATTTCCATTTTCAAATAATCTTTACATCAGACCCCAACAATTCTTGACTGCTTGCCAGGCCATCTCTCCGTGCTAAAAGGATTTTGTGTAAACTTTTAAGTTTGCTCACTGCGGCCTCCTAAACGTATTACTGTCCTCTCATAATCCTCCACAAGTTTCTTCACAATTCACTGGGAGATTTTTTTTGAGGATTTGTAGAATTGAGAACATAGGCCAGCTGTCTATCATAAGCTTTTATAATTCAAATAAGTGCCACTGAAACCCTGCACATTGGCAGAATTTAGAGGGTTTAAGAATGTTCTTGATTAAAATGCCCCACAATGTTCAATCATGAAAAAGCTGGCGCATCGCATGTACTTGGCATTTACAGCTTACATTTATGTTCGTCCATTGTGTTTAAGGTGCCTTGTCCACTGGAATTAAACCACATGCAGTCAGTTCAGAATTGACACGTACAAAACCTTTCAGAAATACTTGAACTTTTTCGTCGAAAGAGCTCTTGAAAGTGTTAAAAACAGTATTGTATCGTCCTGAAGCACCAAACAGAAAGCACGGCATGACACAGTCTTCATCTATTTACCCTTTACTCCAGTTCCATTCAGGAATTGTTAAGGGTTTTGAAGTGTTTACCATAATCTACACATGATTAACTATGAGGGCATGAATGGTGTGCGTTAATGATTCGCTGGTGGGAAGTGCCTAGGTACACTTTGTAGGGTGCTGCAATGTCAAGGACTGCATAGGGAGAGGTACATCTTCTGCCAATTGGCATAGAGTGGGTAACATTCTCGTTATCATTCGTTTTTATTGTGTAGAGGAAAACTACGACATTCTCCTTCAAGAAAATCACAAGCTGCTGGTGACTGCCATGAGGAGCTTCCCCAATGTGGAAGGGGTGCAGACAGCCGGCTTTGCCTTCATGAAAGCTGTGGCAATAAACAGTAAGAGTTAGAGTTGTGTGAGAGTGGTAACCAAGTCATCACACCTCAGTCACAAGCCAATTACAAGTAGACAAGAAGCCAGCCACAAGTCAATCACAATCCAGCCACAAGTCAATCACAATCCAGCCACAAGTCAATATCAAGCCAACCAGAAGTCAATAATAAGCCAGCTCCAAGTAATCAAAAGTCCAACAAGCCAGCCACAAATCAATCACAAGCCAATTACAAGTGAACAACAAGCCAACCACAAGTCAATACCAAGCCAGCCACAAATCAGTAGAGGCTTTCAGGTAGCCATCATGCTGCACTCTCCTTTAGTTCCACAGGGAAATTTCCTTTAGGCATACCTTGTAGAACAAAAGCACTAGCCTGCAACATGGCAGTCATGCAAACCCTTTGTTTAAAAGCCAATCACAAGTCAGTCACTTGCTAGTCACAAAGTATTAAAATGAACTTCATTTTTCATCATTTCCTACTTCATTATGACCTGTACCAGGTTTGGGACCTGACTCGTAACTCAACTACGGTAGGGCAGAATATACACCTTGGTTACACCCATGTGCTGAGACTTAGCCAGTTTATATTCTTCCATTTGTGCACCTCAATGCACTAAACATGTAAATGTGAATTCAAATTGAATGTGAGATCTTGAATTTGTTGTAAGGCTTTTATTTTCTTGTTCATGGTAGTTGAAAGTCAGCAGCTCCTAGAAGTGAATGGAGCCTCCCAGCTGGTCCTGAGTGGGATCAGAACGTTCCGTCAAAGCACCGACATCCAAACACTAGGTTTCTCCATCCTGACCAAACTCAGTAAGTGGTTACATTTTTTAGGAAATTCTTTTTGGACAGCGTTATTGACTATGTTGCATTTTGTTACATTCAGCAGGATTCCCACATT